CCACGGAGAGGGCTCTGTGTGCCATAGGTTCGCCATCATGACCCTAGAGGGAACTGCTTGATTTTGAACATGGGTGGTAAAAATTAATGCCTCAGTCATTGCTCAGAGGTCCAGGTTTCAGCTGTTGGTGATATGATTTGACTGCAACATGGAGGATGATACGTGATAGGAATGTTCAACTCTAAAGAAATGGCTTCCCGGGATGTGTAAATTATCCTTCGTTTTAAAATGAAAACATAACTTGGCAGAGGAGGAGGAGGTGGTGAGCATTTAAAGCCAAGAGTAGCCAATGTATTGAGCTCCTTGTCTCGTCCTGTCGGGGGCTTGGCTGTCTCTGCAAGGTTTCATGCTTGTCTTCAGTTGTACGGCCTAGGGCAGCCATGGCGAGCCTTTTTGAAAGCGGAACATGCGTGCACGCCAGTCAGCTGATCTTCGGCTTTCCAGCAAGCGCATGTGCACCGGCCAGCTGGTCTTCGCATGTGCTGGAGCACCAGAAATCTGGCTGATGCACGTATGCCTGTTTTCACGTCTTTTTTCAGACTGTTTTTGGCCTGAAAAACGGCCTGAGAATGGCCGAAAAACAGCCTGAAAATGACCCCCCAAAACGGCCTGTTTGGGGGGCTGTTTTCAGGCCATTTTCCGGCGCTGCCATAGGCTCACAGGCCTAGAGGGAGAAATCCATACAGGAAAAAAGCTGCAGATACACCCAGTGTGTTTCTATGTGTAAAATAACGTGCAGCTCCATGTAGGAAGGAAGCTGATCTTATTCAATCTTATTCAGTCTTTTTTTTTTTAAGCGGTTTTAAAATCTGCACGGCTCTCGTGTTCAATGTACTCGAAGCATTAGACATCTCCCCCCCTTCCCATTCAGAAGGAAGTCCGCTACTAGTCATTTTGCTGTTTAATGTGCGGGCGCCGGACCAGGGAAACACAACAAGGCATTGTTGAGGCAGCCTATCCGCGTCTGCGGTTAAAACCCATCGCCTGCCCCTTCCTTCGCGTGAGCCATGCCCTCCAGAGCGTGTCCAACTGGTACAACCTCCTCCTGCATTTCAATTAGCGCTTCTTAGGGGAAGTTCAAAAGGGGAGGGGGAAAAAGGATGCCGGTTTTGCTTCCAAAATTGCCAGAAAGGAACGTGAACTGTTTGCTGTCTAAGAAAATGTTACTCCAGTGCGAGGGTCTGTGGTACTCTGGCGAGAAGTGGGCAAAGCACCTCCCGTTGCCCATTTTAAAGTGGCTTGCAACGGGTCTATAAACACGGTTACCAAGGAAAAGATGCGCGAGCCTTTGCTGACGATTTATCCGCCTTCCCCCAAACTTCCCGATGAAAGGAACTTCAGTGGCCATGAGTTCAAGCTACCCATGGCGACTGGTGGTACGTCAGGAGCAGCGATCTCCAACCTTGGCCACTTTAAGACTTGTGGACTTCAACTCCCAGAAAGCTGGCTGAGGAACGCTGGGAGTTGAAGTCCACAAGTCTTAAAGCCCCCAAGGTTGGAGACCTCTGCTTTAGGATCAATTGGGTCTGTTGTTGTTGTTGTTTGAAACTCAGGAATAATGGCAATGGGATGATCTTGAGGAGGAGTTTTCGNGGGAGATATGCTGACTCTGTAAACCGCTTACAGAGGGCTGAAAGCCCCATGAAGCGGTATATAAGTCTAACTGCTATTGCTATTGCTACTTTGTGCGCGCTGTCCCGAAAAAGCGGATGATGGAATAGGAATAACTTCGTCAACTTCTAAATGGCCTTTTAATGGAATGTCTTTGTGGGAGAAGTTCCTGGGGCAGAAGGTAGGCTGCGCCACACACGCCTCTCGCCTTCAGTCTTGAGATTAGTATGCGGCGTGGCCTGAACTGAACTTTTTGTAGGTTTAAATTTTGCGAATCAAGAGTTCGTAGCTTGTAGGTTCAACCTCTCGCTCGTCACGTTTTTGAGGATACATTAAAGCATGCTGCTATTGTGAGAATGCATTCTTAAATTTCAAAAGACCCTACGGAAGGCCTTTTTACATTTGATTGTGTTTGCTCTTTACACTTCTTAGGTTGTGCGTTTATGTCAGAACCCCAAGTTGGCCCTAAAGAACAGCCCTCCCTACATTCTAGACCTCCTTCCCGATACCTACCAGCACCTGCGAACCATCCTGTCCTGCTACGAGGGAAAGATGGAGACTCTGGGGGAGAACGAATACTTCCGGGTGTTCATGGAAAACTTGATGAAGAAGACAAAACAAACCATCAGCCTCTTTAAGGAAGGAAAAGAAAGAATGTATGAAGAGAATTCCCAGCCTAGGTAAATGCTGGCTTGTGCCGGAACTTATCCCTAGCATTCTAGAGCGCGCCTGGATCCGGGGGAAGTCCCCGTGCTTCTTTCCAAATTCCTTGTCTCGGTATGCTTTTGTTTCATGCGAACTTTCGGTTTTCCCCTAAGTTTTATGTTTCTCTGGCAACTCAACAGTTTGAGTTGGAGGTGCTGCTCTGCTTCATTCATTTTCACTGAAATCTCCATGTCCCTGCTTTAGTTTAAAGCCACTCACATCTTGAAGATGCTGGGATTTGCATGATAGTTTATGCACAGAAATGAGTTTGGTTGATAAACCAGCTAATGCTTGGCAAAATGAGTAAAGAAATGCTGATATGGGGNAGTTAACATAGTGGAAATAATTAAGAGAAAATATGGGTAGTGAATAATGCATTAAATCAGTACAGCGTTATAAATCATTCACAGAGTTAGAATATAAATTCTAATACCCAAATTTTGAATGTGGCACAAATCCATATATGAATGTTGTTCAGTAACGGTTTTCAATTGAAATTAAATTTGGGAAATGAATTATTTACTTTAGCAATCAAGACTGGAGTGATATATCAACAAGAAAACATCTTACTATATAGCTATTCTGATATCTGAAATAAATTTATTATTCTTTAAAATCTTACTGCTGCATCTCTATCTACACAATATTTATATTCTGCTTCCATTTAATTATACAGTTTTTGGGCAAGAAATCATGAGTTTAGGATTGCTAAGGTTCTGTGACAAAAATGAACTTTAATATAACTTAAAGTTATAACTACTGATACTGAATAGCTGTTCTTAAATTTCTTTAAGAGAAAAATGGATTTTATGTTCTACCCTTTGAAGGTACTTGAACTAAATGATAACTACCGGTAATGGTAATGAAAGTTAATGTGCCCTTAATTTTCTGACTTGTTAACTTTTCACAGGAGATGGGTTGGTTTCCTAGAAGTCATGAGAATTCATGTATAATGTATATAATAATTAGATTTATGGTGTCTATGCAATTTTCCATTTCCCATTATTTCTGACACAGGAACATGATTTTTCGGTGCTTTTGATTTCCTGGATAATGCTGTTGTCAGTGAATCATCTCCTCTTCGAGCTATTCAGAATACAAAATGGTTTTACAAAAATAAAATGCATTTTTGTTCTATACTTTAGCACATGTTTTCATGGTTTTAAAGGCTTTTTAATGAAAGCATGAACAAACTCGAGCTGAAGTATAATCCACAGTTGTTTTAATTGCATTGTGCCCTTTGTTAGCCTGTTTAAGAAATTTATATAATGTATACCCCTTGGAGCATTTTGTCCTTTACATTTTGAACTCTAGATCTTTAAACCAGAATAACAAGTTGTTATTCTGGAATCTTTAACAAATCCAGAGTCACATTGGATTGCATGGAGTTGTGCAGTGGCTTAGAGTTACTATTTAGTCAAACGTGCATGTTTTTAAAAGAAAAACTCACACCTGAGGAAGGAGGTGAATGATAAATCATATTGAGAAATAATAGCTAGAGAACTGGCCTTTACAAAAGCTGGCCAAGTCCATAGCTTGGAATCTTGTTAAAATCCATTAATGTCATAATTGATGGTTTCTCACAATGTAGCAGTCCCAAGAGAATTCACTTTTCTTGAATGTTGATTTATTATTTGAGAATCTTGCAGGCAGAATTATTCTTTTAGTTAGGGATGGAGGCTGGGGAATTCTGGGAGTTGAAGTCTACACATCTAAAACCTATCAAGGTTGAGAAACACTGCTTTACCTAGCTCCTAAGGAAGGATTTGTAGAATTAGAACAAAATAATGTGATATTTTGGATGTACAATATCCTTGCTTGTATTAAACAACACAGTGAGCTGACTGGTCAGCTAAAGCTACAGCTGATAACAATAACCGATTAGCTGTTTCCATAGCCCATTTCCTTTTTTGATAGTTTAGGTGCCAAGTCCTATCTGCACTTTAAGATTATTCTCATTAGCCTTCTGATATTTGCAATTTAGCAGTTTCTACATACAATAGCCCCTTCTCCCACTATCCCAGATTTAGTACATTGCGTCCAATAGCAAAATATGGTCTCTTGCAGTAAAATTAAAGGGTGTTGTTTCTTTAGGCCTTTTTTTTTAAACATACCAAGCATTGAAAAGTTTCAGTGTTACATATCGAAGAGCCGTTCACGCTAAGAGGAGCTTTGCAAAATATTCCAGTGATTACACACCCTTCTACTCCCCTGCAGTTCCTTGGTCTGTCTTCCTCTCCTGTTCCGAGCGTAGAGTTACAATAATGCCAAGTGTAGGCTAGCAGATCCTTGGAAAAAGGTACCAGTAACCCATTCTTCCTTTTCCAACGATTATGGGTCATGAACCCTTACAGAGAGCTGAGTAAATAGATGGCGATTGTCACCTACCAAGGTGCTCCACTGATAATTGGGTTAGAAATCTAACTTTGCTAAGACCCCACTCTTGAGTGGATACATAAAGTCAAGAAGCTAGTACATTTCTCTCTTAAGTGAAACCTTTTTCCTGCGTCACTATTTTGGTACTACGCCGAGGTGGTGCAGTGGTTAGAGTGCAGTACTGCAGGCCACTTCAGCTGAACTGCTATCTGCAGTTCAGCGGTTCAAATCTCACTGGCTCAAGGTTGACTCAGCCTTCCATCCTTCCGAGGTGGGTGAAATGAGGACCCAGACTGTGGGGGAGATATGCTGACTCTGTAAACCGCTTACAGAGGGCTGAAAGCCCCATGAAGCGGTATATAAGTCTAACTGCTATTGCTATTGCTATTGCTATTGCTATTG